AAATCCCCCAAAAAGGATTTAACAACGTAACACTTTCTGACTTCCTTACACCCTGTCTGTGGCACTTAGACTCGGGCCCATTGGTTCCAACAAGGGACGTTCTGTAAGTCCTCAAAAACAAGAAATGAATAGTGTATGTTGTTTCATCTTTTTATTAGGAAGGGTCATCTCTTCAAACAGTACAGCAAGTTTTTTGTTTTTGAGTATCAGTCAAAAAGGAGTCTGCATTTGACAATGGGCCCCTGGACACAAACATTCAAAATGTCCTGCCTACAGTATACATCGTGGCAAGACGCAAATACATTTTAGTTGTTAAGCATCTTATTGTGGTCGTTTTTATGTGTCTCTTTGTCATAATTATGAGTTTCTTTGTAGCTGATTTGATCTCATTTTAGTCTTTTAGTATTTTTTATTCTTTGGGTCATTTTGAGTATCTCCCTGGTTGGTACGTGTCTGTAAGGAATACAGAAGAATATTACATATGAGGATATGGATGAGGATATCTGGGCTTTTGGGTGACAATACAAAAATACAAAATATTGTCAGCAATTATTTCAACTATCTATAATATATAATATAATATAATAATATAATATATTCAACTATAAAAGAGGCAAGTAAAGCAAAACATAATGATAACCCCTGACGTGCTGCTGCATCTGACACACTTCTGTAAACAACAGCTACTTCCTGTCTCCCAACCAACGAAGAGGATGGATAAGCACCAGCTAGCTCTCCTCACCTCACCTCTCCTCTCTCACACAAACACACACGTTAGTCATTGTTTGTCTTTTGCCCGTAAAGCTGTCATACTTAGAGTAACCACTTCCACTGCAGAATTAGTGCCTGTGTTCACGTGTGGCGACGCAACTCTGGAAGCATTTGCGTCACTGCATTTCTGCTAAAGGTGTGTTGGACAGTTTGGAGATAGACAGAGAGGAGAAAAACATATTTGTCATCTTTTGGGGTGACAGATTGATCCGCTTCATGCGTCCACTTCCCGCCTTCTTTCTCCAGCAACCTAGTTTTTGGGCAGAGCAGATTAGGGAGTGTGTTAAAGCGTCACTGTAATGAACCACATGTATGAGGATATTTCCCTCCTAATTACTTTCACTGTCTGATTCGGAAAACATGACAGATGCTTAGTGTCTTAAAGCATGAAGTATATATTATGCTTGATTATATACCCAATTTCTTCAAAATGAAAAGTCAGGAGTGTCACTGACTGTAGACTTTTGCCTCAAAATGAAAGCCTGCTATCAGGACAATAAGGCTGGAACTGAATTACACAATGGTTAATTAACCAATCAGTTAAAGAACAAAATCTGCAGGAAATCAGTGTAGAGGAGGTCATGTTACTCTGTGACGTGCATGGTGTGTTGGCCTAGCCAGAGCTAACAACCTGACAGATGACATGAGTGCATAAAAGGGCAATTGTGTGTGAAAAAGAACATGTAGCACATGGAACAAACTGTACGAGCCGTCAAAGCATCAGGATGTCTGAGGGAGACTGAAAATACGTAATCTTGTTAAAGTGCCCATGTTTTTTTCCTTCATTGCAGGTGGGATGCCAAGAGGTTTGAAAGGCAACATCACTGCTTTAAGTGCACTTTAAGTGTAATGGCAGTGTGTTAGCCGGAGTCTGAGCAGACAGGATGAGACAGAGCCGAGCGCAAACATCTTCTTCGGATCAACAGCTGTAAATTACCGAAATATATATAGGAAGTGCTCTGTCATGGTGTGCAAGAATGAACAGATATTTGGATATTTCATGCTTAAAGTTTGTGAAATGAAAAGCATTTACTTTTTAATGGTTTGATGTGCCATTGTTTTATTCTTTAAATTAGAAACTAGGACAATAAACGTAATGTTTTGCTGATTTCGCTTTCTTTCTGTTTGTTTGTATTTATATTTGTGTTCACTGCTTAAAGGAATCCCACCAAACATGAGTTGTGTGATCAGTAAACAAAAGAGACACCCAAACATGTTTTAATATTGACACATACAACAGATCATACAGGGACATACCCGACTTTGTTTAAGATTAAAAGAGTATGTGTTTCTAATAGTTTTAATGATGAGTCACAGACTGCTCTGATAAGCTGGACTTTAGGATAGAGACATCTGATGCAATAAGAAAGGTCCTCGGGGCAGTACAAAACATGTATACTTTGCTTGCTTTTATGTGAAATGGATATTCTGTATACAGCCATTTATTTTAAATGTGAAATTAAAATGATATCTAGTTTGCCCCTACTCCCATTATTTTTGATTTCTGGATAATAACATCTAGCTATTATATTGTCTTTTTATTCTCTGTTAATCTAATTAAGTGCACCAGGTTTTTACAATTTGGGAATCACTAAATAAGGGTCACATCATAAGAAAATGTCCTAAGAACAAGTAAAAAATGTCCCCAAAACAAACCAGTTCTCTGCCTTGTTTGTATTACAAACACGAGCCGGGAGACCAGACTGTTGGGTCAGATCAGAATTTTTTTTTCAAGATGGCACTCAATGAAGAATGTTCTACTTCTGTGACGTATAAGACTGTATTTACATCTTGGCACGGATATTCTAATAACTAAGCACTCATATGCAGGTCAGTATGATAAAAAATGTGGTACCATATTTGCTTTGGAAAGAGTCCTCTCTGCCCAACTGAGTGCATCTGCTGAGTGATTCCATCAGATGGAGAACATTATGGCAGGAAGCCTGTTTGTTCTTTGGTGTGTTTGTACTGTTTCTGTCCCAGAATTCACAATAACAAGTTTACTCTAATTACAATTTGAGGAATCTGTTGACATTTATAGCATTGAATGTATCATGAAAACTTGCCTGGTTGTTTCAATTAAGGTATGCAATTCACTTCAAGCTGAATCGTTTTAACCTTCTTAAGAATAACACGAAAATGTAACAACTTAGGGAAAACATAATGAAGAATGAAAGTCAAGAGACAACTTTGCTGCAACCAATTAAAAAAAAGGTATGCTCTATACAATTGCTGGCCATTTTAGGACATGTCATTTTAGTACATGTCAGGCGCAGCTTTACATTGTCAGACTTTTTTAAAGTATATTTTTTATTTGAACTTCTATGTCTCTGTTGTCATGGATAGATAGTATGTAAAAGATTGTGTTTAAATGTTCTGACTACTCAACATGGCCACTATTACTGAGTGTACTGTCATTTATGAGTAAATACTTATCTACTTTAGAGATTTATGTTAACGTATTGGACTTTGGCAAGGTCATCAGGAATCATCCTCTGGGGAGCAGGAAGGGCACTACATTTTATGACAAAACATCTCAAAGTTGAAAAGACATATCGATTTGGAACTCAGCAGTCACTGTTCATTAACAACGTGATTAAACGTTCTTTAATGTCTATTTGACTTCCCATTCACTGTGACAATTTCTCATAACAGTTATGTTACGCACTTTGACCCCTGGCCCTGACAAGGATTATGTATGCGTGTGTTTGTGTATGTCGTGCACACACTGTTTGTGCATTCATATCCTATCGCAGCATTCTCCTCAAAGCATCCCTGACCTACATCCTGGTATCATGACTGAGGGGGTGTCTGGTGTGGAAGGACCTATGGGAAGGACACAGAAAGCAGAGTCAGGAACATCAGCTTCTGTTATCTTTCACTATATTTCAAAGCTTTTCTCAGCTCTTCATCTCCCCCTGGTGCTGTAAAAGAGGTGGATATGGATGCAAAACAGACGGTGACCCACATACCTCCTCTGATAATCATTATTTTTTCTGGTTTGCCCTGAAGATGATACACTTATACTGTCCATGTGTTTGGACAAAATGACCAAAAATACAGCCAGTGTATAGCTTACTTTCACATGATAGGCTACTGCTTTTCTCAAGGATTTTGGATCATGGTTTATTATGATGCATACATTGTCATTATACATTCTGAAAGGTTAATGCACAATCTAATTTATAATAATGTGTACTTTGTGCAATTAAAGCGGTAAACTAATTACAGATTGAGGACTCAATTCAATGTGATTTTTCTGGTTAAACTCAGAGCATCATACTTTGCTTAAAACATGAGAACACATTGAAAACCCAGACCTCCAGATCAAAGCCAAACACTGAATAAGAGTTTTTCCATTTTAGGCAGTGAGACAGAGGGGCTGAGGATGCCAAACAATTTGTATCACTGCTTTACTTGGCAAACTAGAGCATGTGATTATTCATATTTAAACAAACATCATACAAAAAGTCCAAAGAGTCCTTTACCCATTTTTATTTTGTCTCTTTCCTATTAATATCCCGGGGCAGGAAGAGTTGATCAAACTTTTATATTTGCACTATATTTGAGGTCTTTATTCTTTCTTACATTGTACTGCAACTCTTGCAAAACAAATTCCCTTGGCATAAATACAATGATGTGTTATTTTATTGACCTCTGACATGTAGCCTATGTCTCACCCTAATATTGGTCTACCTTGATTTGTCCATTCTTATTATAGCTGGTAAGCTTTTTCAAATCTGTAGTGTCATTTTGGAAAATGTCTTTGCACCTCTCTTTGCTGTTATGGTGTCTGGATCTATTTCATGCAGTAGGCTACATGCTCTGAATACAGCAGTATTACACAATGCTGTACAGATTACGTTAACTGTATAGATATAGTTTACTTTCTAACTCAGAGAAGGGCAGAAGTATGTATTTGATCCTAAAGTTACCTGTCACATCTTGAAAAAACGGCTACATAACGATTTTCCAACGAGTAAAGCTTTTAAAATTTAAATGCAAGTTGTGGCGTCGTCAGTTCATTTGCCATACAGTCTAAGATTTGATTGACAGTGCGGTCCCCCAATAAAAAGGTTAAAAGGAGACTTGTAGCGAATCAACGGCTAGTTTACGCCTTGTTTCGACCAATAAGCTTGATGTCATAACGGAATGTAACCAATCACAGCGAAGGGGTGGGCTCCCGTTCTTGGAGCGCGAACGGTTAAGGACAGAGACGGCCACGAGAAAATGGCGAATATGGAGGAGTTTTTGTACGGGCATAGCGTCATATTTTAAACTTTATGCCATTTTAATAGCTTTTTATACTCGGTGGTGTTTATTTTATGCATTTCTGGCTAGGTTGTTTTATTAAACCGCGAGCGCTACTCGTTTATCACACTAACGGAAGATCATTTGAAATATGTTGTTGTTACTCTAGCTAGCTACATTAGCTTAATAGCAGGAAACATGAAGTGCTTTCGTTAGCAATGATATGACCGCAGAAATGACAAATACATTTCTATTATTAATGGTTGAGTAAAAGGATTCGGTCACACTTCACCTGAAGTCATGGCTTTACACAACTTGGTGTTCGTCATCGATGTGGATTATAGAGATCACGAGTCAGGAGAGCAACTGGATGTCAACAATCATCTGTTGAAACGAGGAATATTACAAACCCTGCTGCATTTCGGCTACAAATATGGATTTGACAAAGTGCGCTGGGGTTATAAATTCTTCCAATCCAAGACTGGCCGAAATGCAAGCCTCATATCAAGGGGGTCAGACTTCAAGGAGCTTCGTCACAAGACTTTTGAGGACTTTGAAATAGAGTTTGAAGCTAAGGTTGACGTGAAGGATAAATCGTGTCCGTCAAAGCAGAAGCAGAAATTCAATCATTCTGCCTGTGTTCACAATGCACTCAAAGAAACCCTGCTGGACTTCCAGTGGGACAGACCAGACATCACCTCTCCCACCAAACTGTCTCTCAGGCCGAGGAAGTCTGTCCAAGCTGGAAAGCCCAGTGTTTCATTGGAGGATGAGACATCCAGCAAGGGGAGGAATTTGGTGTTTGTTGTCTCGGAGTGTCCACGCTCCAGCTCACAATTTGTGGACTATCTTTCTTTGGGAAACAGTGACCTGTCCACAGATGTGACAGATCAAATATTACCCAGAGGCCTTCACGACATGCTGCTTCAGCGACAGGTTGTGCTGCACTGGATTGACAGTAGATCTCATGTCCAGGTGAGTACTGTTACTGTACTGTACTGAACAGTTTAAAATATAACCATTAACTGTACAGCGGCTCAATCACTGGTATCTTTTTATTTACAAAGCAATGTGAGGGAAACTTCCATCCTACATCTGCTCCCTAATCTCACGGCGTATTGTAAATGGCTACTGCCTGAGATCGAATGCTGTGGTTGTATTAAATGTGCCAACTGCTAGGACTGTCTTAGAGAATACAGCTTTTAGATGCGCAGCTCCGCTAATTGGAACAGTCTGCAAAAGGAATGGAAGTTGAGCAGTTTGGTTCCATTACATGTTTTTAAAGCAAGGATAGATGCTATCCAATCGGAAACTGTTGGTATCTGTAAATGCTACTAGCGATACAAACTGTAGTCAATGTAAATATGCCATATGATGTTTTTCTGTCATGTTTGTATTCATGTTGGAACCTACTTGCAGCAGGTCACCATTGAAAAAGAGGTGAATGATCTCAATGGGTTTTCACCTGAATAAATAAAGGTTTTGAATTGAATTGAGTCATAAAAAACAACGTGACAAACTTTGACAAAATCACATTACATGTATACTAGTAAGTATGTATAAATAATGCGGATATAAATGGTGTTTATTTGGACTTTTCCCTGAATTTCTCACTTTCTTGTTTGATATGATTTAGCTCAGCAAACCCACTTAAAAGGTACTAAAAAAAGTTTACTTCTTATGTTGCATAAAAAGGATTCAGCATCTTGTGGGTTAAACAGAAATAGCCAGATCATACCATAAATCTACACCAACCTCAAACACTGCAGCTACTTACCAAAGTGGCTGTTCAAAGGATGTCACTTTTTCCACAGATTCAAGCACCTTTGATCTTTTGTCTTCCTCCAGGTCATGAAGTGTGAGGATCATGTTGGTGCTGAGAAGCTGTCCAAGGTCCTCGCTCAGCTGGGTGGCAGAGTGATCCCTGTGATTGCTCTGCTGAACCTCTGTTCCACTCAAAAGCCAGACTCAGGCTTCAGCAGACAGACCTTTGCATTCAAGTCCAACGTTGGATACCTCCTGTCTTCTGAAAGGCTCCACCGCCTGGCTTTTCCTGTCACAGGTGGTGTTCTGCAGTGGGAGCAAGGTTAGTAGTTTCATGGAAGTAGACATCTAGATGACTCAGCCATGCCCAAAATAGTGGAGATGTTAAAGTGATCAGTGTTGTGTGTTGTGTGTGTATTTCAAATTCAGATCCAAAATATGTTATACATCGTACTATATATGCTCTATGTCTTTGGATTTCACTTTGTTTCTTTGCAAATATGTATTTGCCTAAGATAACACAGACCCCCGTGTACAAACCAAAAAAACATTTGGATAAACATCAAAAACAGACCCAAGAGGCTTCATAACAATGTCTTGTATCTTCTCCGTGTTGAGATTTATATTTACAACGGTGCTACAAATGTATTTGTTACACAACAGCAGAAATGATATGAAATGTATAAGTGCCAGGCAAGGGAAATTGAGTCCTTTGAACTAGGGATGGGGCCGATCCGATCCAGTATCGGTATCGGGTTCCGATATCAACGTAATTCACGTATCGGAAATTTCCGATCCATACCCCTAGATTTCCGATCCACACATTATGCTGAAAAGATTCTCCGTGCACGGTTCTGGTATGTTGCTTTGCTACTGCAAGATGTGGAATGGATTTCCTAAACGGGGCCATCTCAGTGATCACAGTAGCCTAGGCACGCCCCCGTTCAAGAATTCCATGCCATAGTTTGCAACAAGCAAGCAGTCGAACGTTGAGCGGTCTGGTCTCTGGCCGGGTAATTAGTGCTAACTATTTTGTTGCTAACTATCAATATGTCTGCTGTATGGCAATACTTTTCTCTCGATTCACTGCAAAGCAATACAGCAACATGTAATGTTTGCAAAGCCGTTATATCCAGAGGTGGACGCTCCGTTGCGACATACAATACTACAAACCTAATAAAACACCTGCAGAAGCACCACCCTAAAGAGCACGATGAGTTCTTAGCCGTGAGGGGGCTGANATGCTCAATGGGTGACATGTTAGGGTTAGGGTTAAACCTGACTGGTTTTTCGGACCCCCCCAGACCCCCCCAATAAAGCAAAACTGCACGTTTCAGAGTGTCCTTTTATTGTGGCCAGCCTAAGGCACACCTGTGCAATAATCATGCTGTCTCACTCTGAAACGTGCAGTTTTGCTTTATTGGGGGGGTCTGGGGGGGTCCGAAAAACCAGTCAGGTTTAACCCTAACCCTAACATGTCACCCATTGAGCATGTTTGGGATGCTCCGGATCGGCGTATACGACAGCGTGTTCCAGTTCCTGCCAATATCCAGCAACTTCGCACAGCCATTGAAGAGGAGTGGACCAACATTCCACAGGCCACAATCAACAACCTGATCAACTCTATGCGAAGGAGATGGGTGACTGTTGTTAGGGTTTAACCCTTGGGTTTTCCAGACCCCCCCAATAAAGCAAAGCTGCACGTTTCAGAGTGGCCTTTTATTGTGGCCAGCCTAAGGCACACCTGTGCAATAATCATGCTGTCTAATCAGCATCTTGATATGCCACACCTGTGAGGTGGGATGGATTATCTCGGCAAAGGAGAAGTGCTCACTATCACAAATTTTTTCAGATTTGTGAACAATATTTGAGAGAAATGGTTATTTTGTGTATATAGAAAATGTTTTAGATCTTTGAGCTCATCTCATGAAAAATGGGAGCAAAAACAAAAGTGTTGCATTTATATTTTTGTTCAGTGTACAAAAAGTCTAAAAATCCCAGAGGCGCGTAAGTTATGTCACAATTGTTTTCCTCCACTAAGAGATAG